ACACACACACACACACACGACATCATTGCCTTGTGATCATGTCTTAGTTTGGTTTTAAAATACCCCACAAGCCCATTCCCATTGAGGAGGCCCGTATAGGACCGGCCACCCACTTGGTTGGACTTTGGGGGGCGTGCCACGAAGTGTTTGTTCTGGAGCAGGAAAAATTGGGCGATTGCGCCCTAGAGGGTTGGAGGATGAGGAGCAGTGACGTGATGTGGGCACGATCACATGGATGTGTGTGTGTGTGTGTGTGTGTGTGTGTGTGTGTGTGTGTGTGTGTGTGTGTGTGTGTGTGTGTGTGTGTGTGTGTGTGTGTGTGTCTGTGTCTGTGTCTGTGTCTGTGTCTGTGTCTGTGTCTGTGTCTGTGTCTGTGTCTGTGTCTGTGTCTGTGTTTTTGGGTTGGTACCTTTTTGTTGGGTAGTTTTAAGGGGAAGCCAAAAGGAAAATCGATATTCACTTTTGGGGTCCAAATCCCTTTTTTTGGCGGACACCCGCATGATTCATCATGAATCCATATCTTCCGCGCGAAGGTCCTAAAATATTGAAACCCCAGGACTTGGACAATGACATCGGCATCTAGAAATCCCCTGGTTTTCTGCAGATGTTTTTTTAAATAGTTTAGCACAAACAAGCGCACCAACATGCGCCCATTTTGCTGGATGTACAAACTCTTTCACATGTTGTACACGCTTTGCATGTACAACAGCTTCTCGCATGCGCATTCAAGTTCCTGGCGCCGCTGAGAACTAGTGGGCAATCATCCACCTTTTGGGATCCCCCATCGCCCCACTGGTCGATTTGCTTTTTAGTCTGGGGGGCATGGAGGGAACTGCTTTTTTGCCCGATCTTGAATAGAAAGAGCCGCCTTAAACACCAAAATGGAAGGTTTGAAAGTATGAAACCTATGGGTTGCCGAGCCCTTTTTTTGGCTTGCTGGCAGGATTGACTGCGTGTCTCTCAAAATACGTCCCTAAATTTGAGAAACACCCATATTATGGCTGCAAATTTCAATATGGAACCCTGACCGAATTCTGGTGTCCACCAAAGGGCCCCATTCAAATTCCCAACCATATGATATAGTTCATTCCGCCTCCCGAAGAAACAAGCCACCGAGGGCGGCGTGCTTTGAGGTCGCTGACGGCATCGAGCCGATGCGAGAGGAAGACCGCGGCGGCCGGCAAAAACCGCTCGGTGCAAGTGGGTCCACGGCATGGGGTTGGACGGAGGCGAGAGGCCAACTTCTTTATGCAGAACAAATCTTCACCTGTAGGAACCCTTACGATTTGTCTAATTGCCTTGGGGGTCCATGGCTATCGCCCTATGATTTAACATTGCCAAAGTCACAGGGTCCATAGTTGCCGTAGACACAGGCAAACGGTTCATTGGAGGAAAGAAAGGTCTGACATGTTTGTGGGTTGATGTTGATGCAATCAGGCTTTTGTCTTTTTTGAACACTATCCAGACTCCACACACTCTTTTGCTTCTGCTTGCGGCTCGCAGGATTGACCGCTTGAAAATATGTGCTGTCCCAAAGACTCACTTTCGGTCAGCTGACGATTGGCAGGAATTCGCGGCCGCTGCTCAGAATTCTCCGTCGGGTCAAATTTCCAACACCCATTCCGGCAAAAACGCTGCAGCGGCAGGGCATTCCCAAAACTTGGGCCTTGCTTTTTGTTCGCCCTTCCTCAATTTGGCCTGATATGGTCATTTTCCAACGCCGTCGGCTGCTGGAATTGCACAGGACCCTTTTGGGAGGCCCAAGCTACAATCGTCCGTACCGCATCACCGGACCACGAGGCTCAAGCAGAGGCAACCAAGACACTAGGCGGACCCGCCTTGAAAGGTATTCAAAGGGAAGCAAAAGGGACACCAACCATTTTAGGGGACCACTGCTCGGAGATTCCCCCCCTCCCCCCTCCCCCAACTGCATGACAGAGTGTGAGAAGGGCGCCTGGCTGTTCCGCTTGATAGGCGCGTTGTTGAGACTATGGATTGGCGCATATTGGCGCTTTCGTTTGGTCAGCACTGCTAACCCAGAAGAGCCCGATTGTGCTTTCACTGCCTGTAGCAGCTTCAGATGATTTTTGCCAACGGTGCTGGCTCACAGAGCATACCGGCAGCACCAAACCCTACCTACTCGAGCACCCCGGACATCCTGCAATTGTGCAGGTTGATGAAGACTCGGGTGAACCAGGCATCCAAGATCCATTTCAGTTGAAAAGGGGATCCGCCTGCCCGAGGCCACGCGGTCAGTTCTCCGCTTTCGCCGAAACCGGTTTCGCCTTCCCGGAACGGTGAAGCCCGATTCGATGCCGCCATGCTGCCGCCTTTTCGCTGCCGAACCGTGCGGGCGGTTCTGAGGCGGGACATCACCGGCAAGTTACCCAAGCAATCAACGAGGTGCGTCTCCCTTTTGGTTCGCGGGAGGGAAACCAAACCCAACCGTTTCAGGAACTACGTATTTGGAGAAACACCTGAGCACGGAACTGCTCAGGCTCCGTCCGGGAGTTGTTTCACCCCAGCTCTAGTCTAGCAAATTTGAGGTTTGTACCTGCTTCAGATTCCAAGAATCTCCGTTCAAGCTGATGAGGGCTCTGCATTTTTCGGGAACCCCTTTGATGTGTCTTATCTGGGAATCATATGATGCGAAGTTCACATTAGTAGGGCACGTTGCCAAGTACTACCAAGAACAAGCTTGATACAAGTCGGTGCTTTCGATTCGGGCAAGCCCCCTTTGTCCCGTGGGGTTGTTGTTATACAAGCAACTCTACGTGTTGATCAGAGTGGCCCTTTTCGCCCTTGCCGACCGGGACCCGGCGCAACATTCTACCTGAACATGGCGAAAGTGTTCGCCTTCCGACATCATCTTTTTCGTTAGGCACAAGTGTACAAACCCGCGTTGGCCCCGAAACAGGACGGCAGCCAGCGTGGGCAGATCACACGCCGGCCTTCATTTCTCCCCAAATGACCAGCCTCTCCCAAGCCCAAGTATGAACAGGTCAAACCGTTTTGGAGAAGTCACGAATCGCGAATCGGAGTCTGTGAGTTGCTTCCTGCCCGCCCAGACACCTCGAGGCGCTGCCACGTGCCCGCCTCTCGGGCCGCCGGAAGCGCCGCCTTGCTGAAGGCGCGCTACCAGCGCGAGGCTCGCGGAGTGGCGGAGTGGGGGGCGGCAGGGGGCGTGCGAGGGAAAGGGCGGGGGGTGGTTGGCGCTCTGACTTGGCATGGGGGCCATCCTTCTGCCTGTGGTTCGTGGGTTCGCAGTTTTCTTCCGCTGTTTTCTTTGTTCCATTCTTACTTTTTGGCTGTTCCTTTCCCTCTCCCACATCCTTCTGCACTGTCAGGTGAATGTAACACGCCTGCCTTCAAAGGAAGCTGGTTTCGATTCGTATGTTTCAGTGGCACCTGACCGGAACATAGACATTTCGGCAGATCCCTTCCTTAGGCCAATCGGCAAGGCGAATGGCAAATACATGTGTTGCTTTGTCCGCTATACCTATTGTAGCATTTGGAACAATGATGCAATGCTGCTAAATGTGGGTATTTGGAGTAGGGGGATTTCTCAGAAATCCCCTGTTATGATATAGGCGTGTGGAATTCCTTTCAGAATGCGAGCATTTTGTCAGTTTGTTTGTTGCTTTATCCCGTATCGCCTTCGTTGGATTTATTATTATCATTATTATTATCTATTAGTATTATTTAGAATTATCATTATTATTATTCTTATTATTATTATTCTTATTATTATCAGTATTATTACTGTTATTATTATTATTATTATCTATTAGTATTATTTATTATTATCATTATTATTATTCTTATTATTATTATTCTTATTATTATCAGTATTATTACTGTTATTATTATTATTATTATTATTATTATTATTATTATTATTATTATTATTATTATTATTATTATTATCTATTAGTATTATTTATTATCATTATTATATTATTCTTATTATTATTATTCTTATTATTATCATCATTATTATTATTATTATTATTATTATTATTATTATTATTATTATTATTATTATTATTATTATTATTATTATTATTATTATTATTATTATTATTATTATTATTATTATTATTATTATTATTATTATTATTATTATTATTATTATTATTATTATTATTATTATTATTATTTATTATTATTATTATTATTATTATTATTATTATTATTATTATTATTATTATTATTGTTATTATTATTAATTATTAGTATTATTATTATTATTATCATTATTACACCGGCCGTTATTCCAGTTCATCCACAAGCTTATGATCCCTGCATTTCCCCTGTGAAACGAGGCGGAACGATTAGCTATGATTGGGAGTGTTGGTGCATGGCATGTGGAAGAAATGCTTTGCTGGTCAGTTCAACTGAGACCTCTACCAATGGGTTGCTTTCGCTTCCAAAGCTCTTACACATCAGCCCCGAAACAAGCAAGTCACCAGGCCAGTTTTTGGGGTGCCACAAGGCGGCTTCTGCCTTCGCTTGAGCGCTTCTGCTCACAGCAACTGGGCCCACTAGCAACACCTGGACACAGCTACCGCACGGCATCAACCGCTCCGTTCCAAAAAGGCAGCAAGGCAGCAACCAAGCGGAGAGAGCACCCCCCTTTGTCACTGATTCGGGTCCCTTCCTTGTTTCCCTCCGTTTGGATTTTTGCCATGGAGGGAGCTTCGGCGTCTCAGAGTCTCAGGTGGAGGGCGGGCGCCTGGACACGGACCCCCTGCAGCGGCGGGTGGTGGACTTCCTGGCGCAGGTGGCTTCCCCGGCTCTCGTGGTGGGTGGGTGGGTGGGCTGGTGAGTGGGTGGGTGGGCTGGTGAGTGGGTGGGTGGGTGTTGCTGGTTTCTTGCACAAGTTGAGTTGAGAGGCATGGGCTCACTCGCAGCCGTTTTGGCTAGCAAATCTAGCAAATCGACCTGCCTTGGTCCTTGAAACGCTCGGGCTTAGCGACTTCTGACCCACAGAAGATGCAGCAAGCACCTCCGGTTCCTCCGCCAGCTCGTCCGGCCAACGATGGGAAGAAGCTCGCAGGGGAGGTGGACGAGTTCGCCTGTTGGGAGCGGGCTTCTCAGACACCTGCAGAGCTTCGGTTGGACTCCGGCGAGTGCTGGCGCGGCTACAACTTCGGGGCCAAGCGGTCCATTGCGGGCGAGGTGGTCTTTGCAACGCCCATGATGGGCTACCCCGAATCTCTCACGGACCCTTCCTTTGCAGGTCAGATCCTGGTTTTGACGTATCCCCTGGTTGGCAACTATGGCGTCCCTCCGGAGGAGGAGGATGAGAAGGGCATGCCGCGGTACTTGGAGGGCAGGAAGATCTACCCTGTGGCGGTGGTTGTTTCAGAGTACTCCTTCGTGGCCTCCCACTACGCTGCTGTGAAGAGTTTGTCTCAATGGCTGGAGGAGCACAAGGTGCCGGGGATCTTCGGCGTGGACACGCGCGCCATCACCAAGAGGCTTCGCGAGGAGGGCTCCGCACTCGGCGCCGTGGTGGTCGGGTCCGACCCCGCGCCGGAGTGGGAGAACCCGAATCTGCGGAACCTCGTGGCGGAGGTGTCGGTGTCCAGCCCGCAGATGTACGAGCCGGATGCAGGCGACGCTGAGCCGCCCCTCATCGTGGCGGTGGACTGCGGCATGAAGTTCAACATCGTGCGGTACTTTGTGTATTACTTGCGGGTCCGGCTGAGGGTGGTGCCCTGGGACTACGACTTCTCCAAGGACGAGTTCGATGGGCTCTTCATCAGCAACGGCCCGGGAGATCCGGAGAAGTGTGAGGCGACCGTGCAGTGCCTGCGGCGGGTGATGCAGGAGCGGCCGCAGGTCCCGATCTTCGGCATCTGCCTGGGCCACCAGCTGCTGGCGCTGGCGGCGGGTTGCAAGACCTACAAGATGAAGTTCGGGAACCGCGGGGTGAACCAGCCCTGCGTGGATCTGCGCACGGGCCGGTGCTACATCACCTCCCAGAACCATGGCTTCGCAGTGGACGACACCCAGCTGCCGCCTGGCTGGGAGCCTCTCTTCGTGAATGCCAACGACGGATCCAACGAGGGCATCGGCCACAAGGAGAAGCCCTGGCTGTCGGTGCAGTTCCACCCTGAGGCGTGCTGCGGGCCGGTGGACACGGCCTTTCTCTTCGACGAGTTCTTCAAGGTGCTGCGTGGCGCCTCGGGCCGGAGCCTGACCACGGTGAGCTACAAGCACCCGCAGGCCATCAGCAAGGTGCTGGTGCTGGGCTCTGGCGGCCTAACCATCGGCCAGGCGGGGGAGTTCGACTACTCGGGCAGCCAGGCCATCAAGGCGCTGCGGGAGCAGAAGGTGCAGAGCGTGCTTATCAACCCCAACATCGCCACCGTGCAGACCTCGCGGGGCCTGGCGGACCAGATCTTCTTCGTGCCCGTGACCCCCGAGTTCGTGACGAAGGTCATCGAGAAGGTGCGCCCGGACGGGCTCTTCGCGGCCTTCGGCGGCCAGACGGCGCTGAACTGCGCGGTGCAGCTGCACCGGAGCGGCGTGCTGCAGAAGTACGGCGTGCGGGTCCTGGGCACGCAGATCGAGTCCATCGTGGCCACGGAGGACCGCGAGATCTTCAAGGCGGGCGTGGAGAGCATCGGCGAGCAGTGCGCCAAGTCAGCCTGCGCCAACACCATGGAGGAGGCGCGGCAGGTGGCCAAGGAGATCGGGTTCCCGGTGCTGGTGCGGGCCGCCTTCGCACTGGGCGGGCTGGGCAGCGGCTTCGCCAGCAACGAGGAGGACCTGGACGTGCTGCTCACGCGCGCCTTCGCCACCTCCTCGCAGGTGATCATCGACGAGTGCCTGAAAGGCTGGAAGGAGTTGGAGTACGAAGTGGTGCGCGATGCTAAGGACAACTGCCTGGTGGTGTGCAACATGGAGAACCTGGACCCCATGGGCGTCCACACGGGGGAGTCCATCGTGGTGGCACCCTCCCAGACACTGAACAACTTCGAGTACCACCACCTGCGGGCGGTGGCCATCAAGGTGATCCGGCACTTCGGCATCGTGGGAGAGGCCAACATCCAGTACGCCCTGGACCCGCACTCGAGCCAGTACCGCATCGTGGAGGTGAACGCCCGGCTGTCGCGCAGCAGTGCTCTGGCCTCCAAGGCTACGGGCTATCCGCTGGCCTACGTGGCCGCCAAGCTGGCTCTGGGCCACGACCTGGTGAGCTTGCGCAACATGGTGACCCGGTCCACCACGGCCTGCTTCGAGCCGTCCCTGGACTACTGCGTGGTGAAGATGCCCCGCTGGGACATCGACAAGTTCCCCACGGTGGAGCGGACCCTGGGGACGCAGATGAAGTCCGTGGGCGAGGTGATGTCCATCGCGCGCTCCTTCCCCGAAGCCATGCAGAAGGCGCTGCGCATGGTCAACGAGGGCTCGGTGGGCTTTGACGAGAGTTGGTACCTCCGAGCGCGGGCGGGAGCGGCCGTGTCCAAGGACCCTGGGACATTGGCCGTTACTCGTAGAACTGGTTTGCCACCCCTTATGATGTTTGTGTTCCCATGTTCTTTTTTTTTCCAAGGTCCATGCTTTGCGGTGGTTTCTGCGGTGATATTCCTTGCTTGAACTCTTTCAAATGGCGCGACCACGTTTTGGGTTAGGACCTTGAATTTGAACAGTCACCTTTGGGCAACCCACCAATAAACAAGATGAGTGAGGGTTCCCAATGAAGGAGAGGACCCAGTTGCACACGAGAAAATGCGCCACCCCCCCTCTCTGCAGGATGGCAACATCGAAGAGGAGTTGCAGAAGCCTGGGCCGCTGCGGATGTGGGCCATCGCGCATGCGTTTCAGCAGGGCTTCACGGTGGAGACCGTCCACGCGCTGACCAGGATCGACCGTTGGTTCCTGGGCAAGCTCTTCTCCGTCCATCAGGCGCGGAAGCGCATGGAGTCTCTGGGTAGCCTGGAGAAGCTGACAGAGGCCGGCCCAGAGTTCCTGAGGAGGATGAAGCAGCTGGGCTTCTGCGACCGGCAGATCGGTAAGGCGATCAAGGATTCGGACTTGGCCGTCATGCAGCTGCGAGCTGGCTGGCACATCAGGCGGGTTGGTGGCGCATTGAGGAGGGTTTTGCAAGATTAATCAAGCACTTTTGCACTTTGCACGGTTTCATGGTTACCCCAAGCATCTGGCAGATTAATCTCTCCGTTTTTTTCACCCAAGACATGTCAAGAGGTTGAGAAAGAGGTAAAGGGCCTTTGGCCCAATGCAACATGACTGCTCGAGCCCATCCGCCTTGTCCCAGAATTTGGTTTGCAAGCATGTTGTCATGTACTCCCTTCGCGGGAAGCAGCTATTGACTGTTGTTTTCATGAGGTTTTTGAGTGTCTTCAAAGTGTAAGTATGAATATGTGTGTACATATACACACATATCCCAACCAGTCGCACTTGAGCAGCACGACCCTTTTTCGACCCTCTCCAGCAACCTTGTTTTGAGCTTGCAGCATGTGCATGGCCTCATTTGGCAAAGCCTGTTCGCCCTTGCCGCATGTGCATTATCTTATTTGGAAGAGCCCGTTTGATCTTGCAGCGCAGCATGTGCATTTTCCCTTGGCAGAGCCTGTTTTAGGCTTGCAGCATGTGCATTGCCGTATTTTTCGGAGTTCGGTTTGAGCTTGCATTTGCATTGCCTTTTGGCAGAGCTCGGTTTGAGCTGTGGCAGAGCCCGTTTTGGGCTTGTCTGATTTGGCAAAGCCTGCCTGAGCTTGCAACATGCGCACAAGTATTTGGCAGAGCCTGTGTGAACTTGCAGCGCGGATTTGCTTCTTTGGCGTGCTCTTTGTTTGGCAGACAGGATCCCTCTTCCCCGCCAGGCCGTGTGTGAAGCAGGTGGACACGCTGGCTGCGGAGTTCCCAGCGCAGACGAACTACCTGTACCTGACCTACGTTGGGGAGGAGAACGACGTGGTGCCGCTGGGCAACGAGCAGCTGGCGGCGCACAAGGCCGCGCTGTACGACACGGCCTTCGGCAGCCGACTGGAGGAGAGCGGGTTCCAGCTGCCGGACAAGATGCATGCCCGGGCGTCCCCGTGCCAGAAGGCGAATGCCAGCCCCATGTGGAAGGGCAAGGCCAGCAAGCAAGAGCCGCCTCCGCTGGAGCTGGTGCCAAGCCAAAAGCCGGAGGTGCCGGCGTACATCGTGCTGGGCTCCGGGTGCTACCGGATCGGGGCCTCGGTGGAGTTCGACTGGAGCGCGGTGAGCGCGGTGAGGACCATCCGGCAGACCGGACACCGGGCCTTGGTGATCAACTGCAACCCGGAGACGGTGTCCACAGACTACGACGAGAGCGACCGCCTGTACTTCGAGGAGCTCACCTTGGAGACCGTGGCGGAGATCGTCCGCTTCGAGCAGCCAGAGGGCACCGTGGTGTCCGTGGGCGGGCAGACGCCCAACAACCTGGCGCCCAAGCTGGACCAGCTGGGCATCCGCATCCTGGGGACGGCGGCGGCCAACATCGACCGCGCCGAGGACCGGTCCAAGTTCTCCGCCATGTGCGACGAGCTGGGCATCGACCAGCCGGAGTGGTCCCAATTCGTGCGGCTGGAGGAGGCCACGGACTTTGCTCGGCTGGTGGGGTACCCGGTGCTGGTCAGGCCCTCCTACGTGCTGTCCGGCGCCGCCATGCGGGTCATCGACGACGAGCAGCAGCTGAAGGGCTTCCTGGGCACTGCGGCCGTGGTGGAGCAGGAGTTCCCGGTGGTCATCTCCAAGTACGTGCAGGGTGCTCGAGAGATCGAGTTTGACGGCATCGGCCGCAACGGCCAGGTGATCAACTACGCCATCTCCGAGCATGTAGAGGATGCGGGGACCCACAGCGGCGACGCCACCCTGTTGCTGCCTGCCCAGCGTCTGCATTTGGAGACCCACCGGCGAGTGATGCACATCGCCAGCCAGCTGTGCAAGGCTCTGAACATCTCCGGCCCCTTCAACGTGCAGTTCATGGCACTTGAAGACTCTTGCTTCTCCATGAGGTCCGTGAAAGTCATCGAGTGCAACGTGCGAGCTTCTCGCACCGTGCCCTTTGTCTCCAAGACCTTCAACGTGAACTTCATCGAGCAGGCCACTCGCGTGATGCTGGGGCAGGAGGTGAGCAAGCAGAAGGTTTACGCTCACGACTTCGAGTTTGTGGCCTGCAAGGCGCCCATGTTCTCCTTCCTGCGGCTGAGCGGCGCGGACCCGCACCTGGGCGTGGAGATGCAGAGCACGGGCGAGGTGGCCTGCTTCGGGCACAACGCCCACGAGGCCTTCCTGAAGTCTTTGATCGCCAGCGGCGTGCAGATCTCCAAAATCTTCGAGCCCTGTGGCGTGCTGCTGGCGCTCAACCCCAAGGACAAGGCCGCCGTGGCGAAGTACCTGCCGCTCTTGGACGAGATGGGCTTCAAAATCTTCGCCACCCACGGCACGGCCTCCTTCTTGGAGGCCAGCAAGCCCCAGCGCAACGCCAACAACAGCGCCATCTGCGTCACGCCTCTGGCCAAAAGTGCCGACGGCGTCGTTTCCGCCATCACGGAGAAGACGGTGAAGCTGGTGATTTGCACGCCTTCCTCGCGGGATTCGGCAGGCCAGACGCCGGGCTACAAGATCCGCAGGAAAGCCCTGGAGACGGGCGCGTGCTTGATTGTGAACATGCAACAGGCCCTGATGCTCATCGATGCCCTGTACGAGAAGTTCACCCTTGAGCGGCAGGGCAAGGACTTTTGGACCTTGGATTCCTGGCAGGAGTGCCATCGAATCGGCTAAAGAGCTGACTGATTTGTGAATTAGGCGGGTTTGACGGCGTGCCTGAGCACACCTTCTTTCGGATTTCTCTGAATGGGAATTTTGTACAGTGTACAGGTTGGGGATGGATTTTGATAGATTCGTATCACCAAGCGGGTTGACAACGCTTCACCTCAGTGTGGAATCTTGTGAGTGGCTGGAGGCCGCGACTCTCTTACTCTTGGCAGCGTTCAGCTGCAGGCAACCTCGATTGCCAGACCCTTCATGCACACTTTTGCAGCCTGGGAGGCAGCAAGAAAGAGCTTGCACGAACGTTGAAGCCCTTTCCCCAAAACCACGACCTGGAAACTTCTGTACGCAATTGCGGCAAGTGAGCTTCTAAATGAGTTGTGTTGCCCCTGCAGTGCTTGCTGGTTTTTTGCACGACTTGAGAGGCATGGTTACTCGCAGCCGTTTTGGCTAGCAAATCGACCTGCCTTGGTCCTTGAAACATTGAGCTCGGGCTTAGCGACTTCTGACCCACAGAAGATGCAGCAAGCACCTCCGGTTCCTCCGCCAGCTCGTCCGGCCAACGATGGGAAGAAGCTCGCAGGGGAGGTGGACGAGTTCGCCTGTTGGGAGCGGGCTGCTCAGACACCTGCAGAGCTTCGGTTGGACTCCGGTGAGTGCTGGCGCGGCTACAACTTCGGGGCCAAGCGGTCCATTGCGGGCGAGGTGGTCTTTGCAACGCCCATGATGGGCTACCCCGAATCCCTTACGGACCCTTCCTTTGCAGGTCAGATCCTGGTTTTGACGTATCCCCTGGTTGGCAACTATGGCGTCCCTCCGGAGGAGGAGGATGAGAAGGGCATGCCGCGGTACTTGGAGGGCAGGAAGATCTACCCTGTGGCGGTGGTTGTTTCGGAGTACTCCTTCGTGGCCTCCCACTACGCTGCTGTGAAGAGTTTGTCTCAATGGCTGGAGGAGCACAAGGTGCCGGGGATCTTCGGCGTGGACACGCGAGCCATCACCAAGAGGCTTCGCGAGGAGGGCTCCGCACTCGGCGCCGTGGTGGTCGGGTCCGACCCCGCGCCGCAGTGGGAGAACCCGAATCTGCGGAACCTCGTGGCGGAGGTGTCGGTGTCCAGCCCGCAGATGTACGAGCCGGACGCAGGCGACGCTGAGCCGCCCCTCATCGTGGCGGTGGACTGCGGCATGAAGTTCAACATCGTGCGGTACTTTGTGTATTACTTGCGGGTCCGGCTGAGGGTGGTGCCCTGGGACTACGACTTCTCCAAGGACGAGTTCGATGGGCTCTTCATCAGCAACGGCCCGGGAGATCCGGAGAAGTGTGAGGCGACCGTGCAGTGCCTGCGGCGGGTGATGCAGGAGCGGCCGCAGGTCCCGATCTTCGGCATCTGCCTGGGCCACCAGCTGCTGGCGCTGGCGGCGGGTTGCAAGACCTACAAGATGAAGTTCGGGAACCGCGGGGTGAACCAGCCCTGCGTGGATCTGCGCACGGGCCGGTGCTACATCACCTCCCAGAACCATGGCTTCGCAGTGGACGACACCCAGCTGCCGCCTGGCTGGGAGCCTCTCTTCGTGAATGCCAACGACGGATCCAACGAGGGCATCGGCCACAAGGAGAAGCCCTGGCTGTCGGTGCAGTTCCACCCTGAGGCGTGCTGCGGGCCGGTGGACACGGCCTTTCTCTTCGACGAGTTCTTCAAGGTGCTGCGTGGCGCCTCGGGCCGGAGCCTGACCACGGTGAGCTACAAGCACCCGCAGGCCATCAGCAAGGTGCTGGTGCTGGGCTCTGGCGGCCTAACCATCGGCCAGGCGGGGGAGTTCGACTACTCGGGCAGCCAGGCCATCAAGGCGCTGCGGGAGCAGAAGGTGCAGAGCGTGCTTATCAACCCCAACATCGCCACCGTGCAGACCTCGCGGGGCCTGGCGGACCAGATCTTCTTCGTGCCCGTGACCCCCGAGTTCGTGACGAAGGTCATCGAGAAGGTGCGCCCGGACGGGCTCTTCGCGGCCTTCGGCGGCCAGACGGCGCTGAACTGCGCGGTGCAGCTGCACCGGAGCGGCGTGCTGCAGAAGTACGGCGTGCGGGTCCTGGGCACGCAGATCGAGTCCATCGTGGCCACGGAGGACCGCGAGATCTTCAAGGCGGGCGTGGAGAGCATCGGCGAGCAGTGCGCCAAGTCAGCCTGCGCCAACACCATGGAGGAGGCGCAGCAGGTGGCCCAGGAGATCGAGTTCCCGGTGAGGAGCTTGGCGCTTTCAGCCGATGCCTGGTAGGCAGCGGCTTCGCCCGCGCCTACCACATCTGCCGACGTGCTGCTCACGCGGCACCTTCGCCACCTCCCTCGCAGGTGATCATGCGCGAGTGCCTGAAAGGCTGGAAGGACAGATGCAGTGGTGCGCGATGCTAAGGACAACTGCCTGGTGGTGTGCAACATGGAGAACCTGGACCCCATGGGCGTCCGCACGGGAGATCCATGTTGGTGGCACCTCCCAGACACTGAACAACCGAGTACCCTGCGGGCGGTGGCCATCAAGGTGATCCGGCACTTCGGCATCGTGGGAGAGGCCAACATCCAGTACGCCCTGGACCCGCACTCGAGCCAGTACCGCATCGTGGAGGTGAACGCCCGGCTGTCGCGCAGCAGTGCTCTGGCCTCCAAGGCTACGGGCTATCCGCTGGCCTACGTGGCCGCCAAGCTGGCTCTGGGCCACGACCTGGTGAGCTTGCGCAACATGGTGACCCGGTCCACCACGGCCTGCTTCGAGCCGTCCCTGGACTACTGCGTGGTGAAGATGCCCCGCTGGGACATCGACAAGTTCCCCACGGTGGAGCGGACCCTGGGGACGCAGATGAAGTCCGTGGGCGAGGTGATGTCCATCGCGCGCTCCTTCCCCGAAGCCATGCAGAAGGCGCTGCGCATGGTCAACGAGGGCTCGGTGGGCTTTGACGAGAGTTGGTACCTCCGAGCGCGGGCGGGAGCGGCCGTGTCCAAGGACCCTGGGACATTGGCCGTTACTCGTAGAACTGGTTTGCCACCCCTTATGATGTTTGTGTTCCCATGTTCTTTTTTTTTTCCAAGGTCCATGCTTTGCGGTGGTTTCTGCGGTGATATTCCTTGCTTGAACTCTTTCAAATGGCGCGACCACGTTTTGGGTTAGGACCTTGAATTTGAACAGTCACCTTTGGGCAACCCACCAATAAACAAGATGAGTGAGGGTTCCCAATGAAGGAGAGGACCCAGTTGCACACGAGAAAATGCGCCACCCCCCCTCTCTGCAGGATGGCAACATCGAAGAGGAGTTGCAGAAGCCTGGGCCGCTGCGGATGTGGGCCATCGCGCATGCGTTTCAGCAGGGCTTCACGGTGGAGACCGTCCACGCGCTGACCAGGATCGACCGTTGGTTCCTGGGCAAGCTCTTCTCCGTCCATCAGGCGCGGAAGCGCATGGAGTCTCTGGGTAGCCTGGAGAAGCTGACAGAGGCCGGCCCAGAGTTCCTGAGGAGGATGAAGCAGCTGGGCTTCTGCGACCGGCAGATCGGTAAGGCGATCAAGGATTCGGACTTGGCCGTCATGCAGCTGCGAGCTGGCTGGCACATCAGGCGGGTTGGTGGCGCATTGAGGAGGGTTTTGCAACATTAATCAAGCACTTTTGCACTTTGCACGGTTTCATGGTCCCAAGCATCTGGCAGATTAATCTCTCTGTTTTTTTCACCCAAGACATGTCAAGAGGTTGAGAAAGAGGTAAAGGGCCTTTGGCCCAATGCAACATGACTGCTCGAGCCCATCTGCCTTGTCCCAGAATTTGGTTTGCAAGCATGTTGTCATGTACTCCCTTCGCGGGAAGCAGCTATTGACTGTTGTTTTCATGAGGTTTTTGAGTGTCTTCAAAGTGTAAGTATGAATATGTGTGTACATATACACACATATCCCAACCAGTCGCACTTGAGCAGCACGACCCTTTTTCGACCCTCTCCAGCAACCTTGTTTTGAGCTTGCAGCATGTGCATGGCCTCATTTGGCAAAGCCTGTTCGCCCTTGCCGCATGTGCATTATCTTATTTGGAAGAGCCCGTTTGATCTTGCAGCGCAGCATGTGCATTTTCCCTTGGCAGAGCCTGTTTTAGGCTTGCAGCATGTGCATTGCCGTATTTTTCGGAGTTCGGTTTGAGCTTGCATTTGCATTGCCTTTTGGCAGAGCTCGGTTTGAGCTGTGGCAGAGCCCGTTTTGGGCTTGTCTGATTTGGCAAAGCCTGCCTGAGCTTGCAACATGCGCACAAGTATTTGGCAGAGCCTGTGTGAACTTGCAGCGCGGATTTGCTTCTTTGGCGTGCTCTTTGTTTGGCAGACAGGAGGATCCCTCTTCCCCGCCAGGCCGTGTGTGAAGCAGGTGGACACGCTGGCTGCGGAGTTCCCAGCGCAGACGAACTACCTGTACCTGACCTACGTTGGGGAGGAGAACGACGTGGTGCCGCTGGGCAATGAGCAGCTGGCGGCGCACAAGGCCGCGCTGTACGACACGGCCTTCGGCAGCCGACTGGAGGAGAGCGGGTTCCAGCTGCCGGACAAGATGCATGCCCGGGCGTCCCCGTGCCAGAAGGCGAATGCCAGCCCCATGTGGAAGGGCAAGGCCAGCAAGCAAGAGCCGCCTCCGCTGGAGCTGGTGCCAAGCCAAAGCCGGAGGGTGCCGGCGTACATCGTGCTGGGCTCCGGGTGCTACCGGATCGGGGCCTCGGTGGAGTTCGACTGGACGCGGTGAGCGCGGTGAGTTTCATCCGGCAGACCGGACACGGGCCTTGGTGATCAGCTGCAACCGAACGGTGTCCACGGACTACGGCAGGCGACCGCCTGTGCCCGAGGAGCTCACCTTGGAAGCCGTGGCGGAGACGTCCGCTTCGAGCAGCCAGAGGGCACCGTGGTGTCCGTGGGCGGGCAGACGCCCAACAACCTGGCGCCCAAGCTGGACCAGCTGGGCATCCGCATCCTGGGGACGGCGGCGGCCAACATCGACCGCGCCGAGGACCGGTCCAAGTTCTCCGCCATGTGCGACGAGCTGGGCATCGACCAGCCGGAGTGGTCCCAATTCGTGCGGCTGGAGGAGGCCACGGACTTTGCTCGGCTGGTGGGGTACCCGGTGCTGGTCAGGCCCTCCTACGTGCTGTCCGGCGCCGCCATGCGGGTCATCGACGACGAGCAGCAGCTGAAGGGCTTCCTGGGCACTGCGGCCGTGGTGGAGCAGGAGTTCCCGGTGGTCATCTCCAAGTACGTGCAGGGTGCTCGAGAGATCGAGTTTGACGGCATCGGCCGCAACGGCCAGGTGATCAACTACGCCATCTCCGAGCATGTAGAGGATGCGGGGACCCACAGCGGCGACGCCACCCTGTTGCTGCCTGCCCAGCGTCTGCATTTGGAGACCCACCGGCGAGTGATGCACATCGCCAGCCAGCTGTGCAAGGCTCTGAACATCTCCGGCCCCTTCAACGTGCAGTTCATGGCACTTGAAGACTCTTGCTTCTCCATGAGGTCCGTGAAAGTCATCGAGTGCAACGTGCGAGCTTCTCGCACCGTGCCCTTTGTCTCCAAGACCTTCAACGTGAACTTCATCGAGCAGGCCACTCGCGTGATGCTGGGGCAGGAGGTGAGCAAGCAGAAGGTTTACGCCTACGACTTCGAGTTTGTGGCCTGCAAGGCGCCCATGTTTTCCTTCCTGCGGCTGAGCGGCGCGGACCCGCACCTGGGCGTGGAGATGCAGAGCACGGGCGAGGTGGCCTGCTTCGGGCACAACGCCCACGAGGCCTTCCTGAAGTCTTTGATCGCCAGCGGCGTGCAGATCTCCAAAATCTTCGAGCCCTGTGGCGTGCTGCTGGCGCTCAACCCCAAGGACAAGGCCGCCGTGGCGAAGTACCTGCCGCTCTTGGACGAGATGGGCTTCAAAATCTTCGCCACCCACGGCACGGCCTCCTTCTTGGAGGCCAGCAAGCCCCAGCGCAACGCCAACAACAGCGCCATCTGCGTCACGCCTCTGGCCAAAAGTGCCGACGGCGTCGTTTCCGCCATCACGGAGAAGACGGTGAAGCTGGTGATTTGCACGCCTTCCTCGCGGGATTCGGCAGGCCAGACGCCGGGCTACAAGATCCGCAGGAAAGCCCTGGAGACGGGCGCGTGCTTGATTGTGAACATGCAACAGGCCCTGATGCTCATCGATGCCCTGTACGAGAAGTTC